CAAAAAACCCGCCTTTTTTACCCAAAATGTTCCCCCCCCCCCCCCCCCCCCCCTTGAATCTGGTTGCCCTAGGACGCAATAGAAGACCCGGGTCCGCTATTATGTCCATTGCTTTATGCCTTGATCACACGACGCTCAAGCGATGGGTTCTACGTCATGTGAGGCAGGCTCAATATTACAGAGTGGTCAGCCTTTAACAACTTTTATTTTTCCTTCTGTTCTTTCTTATTCATTAGATACATATTTAGTATGGACTATGATCTTCTTTGTTCGCTCTTTTTTTAAATAGAGAACTAGCAAATAAGGAGATATCACTTTGCATATGCATACGTTTCTGTTCTCTTTCTTTTCGATCAATGCGTTGAGACGACAGAATCTCCGCACATAGGACTTATGTGGAAAGAGATGTCCCCTTATTTGCTAGTTCTATAATGTATTAGTTGGTTTTCTTTTTCTTTTTGTTACATCAAGTTAGAAACGAGAGTACACACATTTAAAAGAGGAGAGAAGTCAGACATTAGATCTCTAGCATTCGAATAAAGATATATCTTTATTGACATTTGCTTCACATTGTCACATTTTTGTTCACCGAACAGAGAACAGTTATATTCTCGCATTTTGTTTTTCGACTGAGAATATGGGGAAACAGAAAGAAGAAAGTCTGATGTATTTAAAAATAAGTGGCAGAATAGCCTGAAAGTGTAAACATGTCTTGATGAATACCTGTTCTCTTTTCTGTGAAGGAAAATGTGACAAATGTGAAGCAAATGCCAATATCTCAGATATATGTATATCTCTGTTCGAATGTTAGGGGCCTATTTAGTCAGCTTATTGTATCGAAGTGTTTTAGATCGTATTGAACAGTGAAAGCACTTGTATTCTTCTTGTAAACACTCTTTTTTGCACACACAAAGTAAAGACAGGAAGGTCAGAAAAACATTTGAATTTGTAAGGATTTTGCACAAGATAGGATCGTAGATATATTATGATCACTGGAGAATTAAAATGTCCACTGGTCTTAAGTTTTTTCAAACTTTTTTTTTCAGAATTTGAAGTTTATCTTAACGCTGCTTCCTCACTGTTGTTTCTCGTCGAACGGGCTTCGGTTCCAACGCCGCTATAAGCTCTTCATATCTAACCTAAAACGTATTATTAAGTGTAATATTTTTTAAAAAATACATACTGCGTGATGATACGTGACGTTCATCATCTACCATTAATAATGCTTTACTTAAATCTTCATTTTCTTCTAGAAATTGCAAAAAGATTTCAACAATACAGGTTAGGTTTTTCTCTAACCTCCAAAATAAGTTCTTTCTTACCATGTGTCAGCGATGGATTAAACTTTGCAATTTCTAATAACAAAGTCTTTTTTTATGAAAAATATAGACATAGAAAAGGTCACAATTAAGTTCTACATAGTGATTCGAACAGAGCTTACTTCAACTTCTGTCAATTCAGAGGATGGTAGTTCATTTTTTGCACTCATTTGTCTTTGTTTTATCAAGCTTTTAAAAACCTTTGTAACTTATATCTTCCGAAAGAATAGATTAGTAGTAGTAGTTGTCAACAGTGATACTTTATTACTTTCGATGATGAAAGAATGTCAGAAAAAAGTGTGCAGAACAGAACAAAAGAAAAACAAAAAAAATGCATGTGTGTGGTGACTTTTATTAAATATGCAGGTAAACCATGCTTTTTTTATTTCATTCTGTACTGTCACTGTCAATAAAATGATAATAAAGTGACGTGACAAAACAATATCCACTGCATATAAAAGACAATCAGAGCCCTATACAGTCTCTGAGTTGAAGGTTCTTTTTCTCTCTATCTCGGTTTTAGAATGTGTTCATTAAAGCACTCGATGTCTATCGTTTCTTCCTTTGACAGAAAAAACCCCGGTGCACTGTAAAAGCTAGAGTTTTCAAGCTTGTTAAGGGTGCAGCGTATCTTCAATTTTAGTCTGAATGCTACACTTGTAATAAGTCTGAACGAAGTTTTTCGTCTTTTCGTAGTTTAGTACACTTTGGATAGAGAGCGTATGTTTATAATTGATTAGTTACAAGCCAGCCAATAGAAGGAAGTGCTTGTAAGGAGAAATTGTCGTAGTATCGTCCGGCTGTATGGCGACAGTGAGCTCTAGGTAGTTCCATTAGTACTGTACCATCATTACATCAAACTTTGTCGCAAACTTGAAGACCTATCTCATTCAAACGAGAATTTAATTCTAACTAAGAATATCGTATTTTAACAATTCCCAAACATTAGCGCGAGGTCCAAACGGGGAAATGACACCTTCATATCTAAAATTAGCGTGAAAAATTTCAATCAGAATATGCATATGCCAAAAATTTTGTTTGAATTTTTACCTCCGTGCTCAGTTTCCGCATAGCCAAATCTGGAATCTCAGTTTTGACTAGGCTAAAGCGGGATCTTAGTTTTGGATAAGAAAATGAAATGACTTTGGCTAATTAATGTTCTTGAATAATCAGCATTGCCTAGAACGAAATGAATCATATATAAGCAGATAGTTCTAATTATACTGTTTGAAAACATATGGCCAAAATGACGTTGTGAGAAGGATAAAAGTAAAGCTTTAAAGTATAAAAATGAAATTGCCTATATAAGAAAAGGGTTATCACAAAGTTTTGGTTAACCCCTGAAGATATTAATTTTGGAATAATTACAGGTGGCACCACCATAATAGCATAGCTTCTAATTACTTTTCGCGTAAATTGCATCGGGCGCTAACCAAAACTTTGTGACAACCCTTTTTTTTATATAGGCAATTTGATTTTTATACTTAAAAGCTTTACTTTTACCCTTCTCACGAGGTCATTTTGGCCATTTGAGGATCTTTTATATATTCTGTTCATTCACGTCTTATTTTTTATTGCGTTAAAAGGGAAAATTTTATTAGCTATAACAGAATGCCGATTGATCAGTATCCATCTTTGAATTAAGTACTAATATTTTTGAGCTAAATTCAGCTGTTGTTGAGTCGCAACAATCCTCGTTAAAAGACAGTCTCGATTATGAAAAACCAAAATATGAAACTAAAATGTGAAGGATTTTATGAAATTGTAACAACCAAAAGCCGATTTAAATTGACTAAAAATAGTTAAACGAACGTTCACAAATTTGTGAATTTATGATATAGCCAAAACATAGTAAAAATTTTATTTGTTTCTTTGACGTTTCGAATCTACTGATTCATCATCAGAAAGAACAATATACCAGTACAGATGTTAGTGTCAATGATACGAAGTACATATGAATGACCAGCTGTAAAACATATGTAGATATAAACACACTCATATAAGGCGCTCCAAAGTCGAAGTTACAGTGAAATTCGCAATCCACTCTTTTTGCATATCCCTAGACGCAGAATTTTGCGCTGATTCAGAATATCATCTTTGAAATTCGCTTAAGTTGCGTCTTCGCTGAGAAAAGCGAAAACAACGTGTTTTTTTGCCAAAAACGGCTAATTTTGTAAAAATCACTTTATATTTTGTTACAACAACTATTTGGAACCTTCAAAGTTAGTTATTCTGACTCATCGTGAAAAACTGCATCGATCTACGTAAGTTTTAAATTTTCCAATGAATAAAAGTGATCCACAAATCCACACGGATTGATATAATAATGCGTTTTACCTCGACCCAGGAAAAATGGCATCAGATTTTTTTCGCAATAGATACAAACTTAATTCTTTCGCCATTCGATTCCCCATGAAATTTCCTACAAACGCACAGATCTTTTTTTCGAATTTGTTTTCCCTTGCTGAGCTATGAGGTTTTTACCGAAAAAATCCAGTTTTTGGCCCGATCGGCGTAGCGATTTTTTCGACAACGGCGTTCATGTTTATAATATCCATTGATTTTCTCGTGAATTACTCCGCTTTATATGTCATGCGACAGAGAATTTCACGAGCTTCAAAATGAGCTATAAATGGGTCTTTCAAAAATATGCACACATTGGTCAATAGTTAAAATACTCCACCGGTATAATGATTTTCACCTATCTTAGTGCTTTGAACACTCCGTTAGTCGTCTTTCTGCCATAAAGAAAAATTATGTATTGTTCGAAAACATACCATTGGATAGCCCTTGAAATTCTCTACAAAGTGAGCTGGTCACAATATCCAGACAGGTGGGGCCAGTCGTTAAAGATATGGAAAAGAAGCTTTTGGGTGTTTTCTAAGCACTATAGTGTGTCATAATCACAAGAACTCCCTTATTTTTGCCATTTTTTTCTATCCAAGATTTTTCTATTAGATGAGGTGCATATCGCCCCTTTCATGTGAAAAGTTGATAATAGAGCTTCTAGAAAACCAAGTCCTAAGTTTTTGGTCAAAAAATGTTACAAACCATATAGCCTGATAGAGCGAAGAATTCTGAGCTAAATAAGACATCTTCCGGCATTCTATAGTACTTTTACACCGGAATATTTTAGTAACTTTCACGCCCTTTGTGGCGAATAAATTGACTGCACTTACGTGAAAAAAGCACTACAGAATGCCGCGAGAAGACTTATTTAGCTCAGAATTCTTCGCTCTATCAGGCTATATGGTTTGCAATGTGCTGGTTGAATGGGAGGTGTGTTTTAAGCTTGAATTTTTATTTTGAACAGGGCAAAACGGACATTTTAACGAAGCACACACAGTATAAAGACACAAGTACACAATAAAGAAAAGAAAAAATCAGAGTAGTTTGCGAAAGTTTTATTGGTTTTCGAGTTACACCGCCTTTTCAACTTGGTGAAGTCTAAAAATAAAAATGTGGATTTGTGAAAGAACAAAAGGAGAGTTCTTCTTGTGGGTTAAACTTACGATTCCTGATGCTAACACAACGCTATCTTGTTAATCATCACTTGTTAAATGAATCACTACCAAAACTCATTCTGAATATCTAGAATAATCAATAAATGTAGCTTTAGATATGCAGCAGCTTCTACCCAAATCAAAAGTAAGGTAATTCAACACTCAATTTAAATTTCGTTCATGAAAATCCTTGAGCCGTGTAATGTATCGTCAAACTATTCACCCTTGTTTACACTTATTTTACTTGTACGTTATAAATTACCTGCCGGCGCTGGAAAAGTGACTGACTGCTAATTTCCATATTTTCTCTATTTTCATCAACGTCTTGATCAGCAGTTTCAGGTTTGGAATTTTCAAACGTTCGTAAATACTCATAGGTTGTTACTTTAAGTGATTTTAATTTGTTCTCTAATTCCAATAATTTTGCTGCATTTGTCGGATCAACGTCATGCTTATGAAAAACTACTGATGGTGATCCACTTGAATTTCTCTGTTTCATAACTTTACCTAAAAAGAACAAAATCATGTGAGGATCATTTCGTTATGTTCAATCTTTTTCTATCGACTTTTCAATTTAAAACAAAAAACTATCACTACATAGTATTGGAGATTAATAGTAGTGACCGATTGTTTTACAAACTGTCATCATATAACTATCATTATAATATCAGTAAAGCTTTAAGCACTTATTAAGAAACTCAGACTGAGGATGCTTAACAAAACTTATTTAATATTTTGTAAGGGTTTCAGCGCTACTTGTTCGATGTATGGGTGTTAATTTAGTGTAATATTAGAAAATAAATATAAATTCATCATTTATTTAAAAAATAAAGATAATCGTTTTATTTCATAAAAATAACTTTTTTTTACATTTTAATGTAAAAAAAAGTTTGTAAAAACGATTATCTTTATTTTTTAAGTAAATGATGAATTTATATTTATCTATTATTATCTACGAACAATGAAACTAAATTAACATCCCTAGTTCGATGTACATAACGGATTGTAGATAACTTTCTCCACACTAGCACGCTGTGACCATCAGCTCTGCATCCATCTATCAGATACACACTTACCTATGTTCAATTTTTCTAATTCTTCAAAGGCTGCTGTGAAAATTTTAGTTGGATATTTTCTGTTTTTGACCAACTCAGTAAGTGAAACTTGCTTTCCTGGTGTTATTAATACTAGTGCCATAGCGTTTTCTAAACTCCTCTTTGTAATTGTGCCACTTTCTTCAGAATCATTGCTTCTAATTTCTTCTTGTATTTCATTTAAATCTATCGTTGTTGAATATCCACATACAGCTTTTTTCTGACTAATATAATAATCAATTAATTTTATTGCCTTTTCCGCTGTTGTTTTGTGAATAATAAATATATCTTTTTCTTCTTTCACCACTTTTTTGGCTTCACTATCTATTTGCTGCCTTGTCTCTCTACCAAATACATCATACACAATTAGTGGCTGACAATTACCTACAAGGGAACATGAGATATAGCAGCTTGAGAAGCATTACAATAAATAATAGTACACCTTGAGACCATTTAAGATATATGAACTTTCAGACTTTTTGGAATTCATGAACCTTGAGAATTTATGAAGTTTCCGGCTCTTTAGAATTTATGAATTTTGAGACTCTTCAGAATTTCTTTACTGTGAGACTTTCTAGAATCCTTGAACCGTGCGACTTTCCAGCATTTATTTACTTTCAGACTTTCTAGAATTTATGAACTGTGGACATTATCCGGAAATCGCCGTCGCCTCGGATTCTTATACGTTAAAGTGTTAAAGTATAATTGTGCATAATTGAGGTGAGGATGAGGGTGGAGCACTTCTTCACCCACTTCACTCTCACTTCTCCACCCTCACCCTCACTCGCCGCGAGTTCGTATATGTTAAAGTGTTAACACTTTAACACTGAATCCGCGGCGACGGCGATTTCGGGATGTTATGATTTTTAGAGCTTTTAGAATTTGTGAATTTTGTGACTTTCTCCAATTTTGGAACTATGAGAAAGCTTAGGATTAATTAACTTTGAGACTTTTTATAATTTGTTAGTTCTGAGACATATTGAAAGTTGTGAACTGTGAGAGTTTTGAAACTGATGAACTTTGAGACTTTCTAGAATTCAGAAATTTTGAGACGTCTTAGAATTTGTGAATTTTGAGACTGTTTAGAATGTATGAACTGTGGGAATTTTTTGAAGCTTATTTACTTTGAGGCATTTTAGAATTGAGGAATTTTGAGATTTTTTAGAATGCAGGAATTTTGGGGCTTTATTTAATTTATTTACTGTGGAAGGACCGCTTTAGAATTTATTAAATTTAATACTTTTTATAATTTTCGAACTTTTAGGCCATTTAGAATGGGGTTGGTTGGCTGTGAGTGTTTATACAACATGTCAAGAGTTGTTTGGTTAGTGGGGACAACAGGAGGAAAATGACTTGAGGTACGCTGTAGGCGTTTTGTGGTTGTGGGAGCAAATTGTTAGCACTAAAGTATGCGGAGTATGTAAAATATGCAGAATGAGAGTGAGGGTGTAAAGTATGTAAAGTATGCGAAGTATGTAAAGAATGTAAGGTATGTATTCTATGGACAGTATGTAAACTATTCAAAGTATGTAAAGTACGCGAAGTATTTAAAGCAACTAACGCGTGAGGAAAGGATGAGAAGTAATTTTGTACAAATTATGTATAGTATACTTTAAGTATAGTATTCCATCGTATGAATTGACCGTACTCTCTTTTATTGTTATGAGTTCTTTTTTTTTACTCTTTTACCCACATACAAACATCAGACAATTTTTTTATCATTATTATTTGTTATATCACTTTCTAGCAGGTGTATGTCTATCACAACTTTTATTGTAGTTATAAGCCCTTATGCTTTTTGATCTACATCCTTTGACAAAGTTCATGTGACATCTTTTATTATTCCTTCTTTCTTTATTTTTCTGTTTTTTCTTTTGTGTCAATAAATATACAAGAACAAGAACACTCATGTATACAAAAAAAATTCGCCTATTCACTTGTCATTACTAGCATTATTATTCTATTTTTATTTTATTGTATGCTCATGCTTTGTTATTGCTAAAGAGATAAACGATGATAAATCTCTAAAAAGTTAGAATAACACATATTTCTGATAGTGTGATGAAACTAAAGTTTTACTTACTTTCAAACAATACAATGTTAACGAGACATTTAGGTGGAATAATTTTATGACCAAGATGTTGATCATCTGAATACCGATTGTTGGCAGTTTTTAAGATGAAATAGAAGTAAGTAGAATTTCTCCGATTTAGGATAATACAATGAACGAAATTAATTTTAATATTGGTTAGGTACAAAAATGTTCATTCACATATCTCCGAGTCTATATTTGAAAGACTCCATTATGGCATGCATTATCTGGATCCATTTCTTTTTTGCACATTTCTCTCGTGTGTCTCGGTAAATGAAACCGATCTATAGCTAAATTCCTAGTAGTGAACAGTCTTGAATTATCCGTCTCGATTAGATACTGCGTGCCAGACTATCTGTTGATAAAAAGTTTAAGAGTGCACGCCGTATCAGACGGCATGGCTAGTGGCAAATAACCATTCGTACGAATGCAAATTAGATGCCGAAGTACACGCCGTATACCCTCGGCATCGAGTATTCTCATCAGAGCCCACAATGATGCCGCAGTTAAAAATGCGGCAAGAAAGCGGAACTTCGTTAATTTGTTTTGAATCTTTTCGAGTTCATGACGAGCGACCGACATTGCCTAAGTATTTTCAGTTATCTTACAGTGTTTTTTATAGCCTCATATAATGATTGATAACGATTATGATCATTTGTGTTTGTGTTTAACTGTGTTGCTCGTTGTTGAAAGAGGCGGCGGAACGGTTCGAAAGCTGTGAGGGCAGATTGTTTTTTCCTGTACAGTCAACGAAGACTATCAGAGTATTTTTACATCATCTCACAACCTGGTGCTATTGTGTTTATCCCCTTCTTTCTTTATGTGTATAAACGCAATACCGTTTTTTTTTATTACGAATGTTTTTGACTACTTTTTTCGTTCATCCTTTGACTATGTAAATTTGACTTTATAAAAAAACGTGTCACAGAAAGAAAAAAAGAAACTTGGGGATACACTGAGAAGAATATTTATCGTAATGATGATACAGAGAAGTCAAACCGCGAACATGTGGGGGCAGCGCCATGTGCTCGCTTCCATGCCTCTAGAGCTGTGGGAGCGGCCTCTAGAGTTGTGGGGACAATGCTCCCACTGCTCCCATGGTTCCGCCGCCTCTGGTTGTTGAGATGATGAAGGTTTCCCTTGCTTGATGATACTTACAATAATATTTATTGTTTGAACGTGAACGAGAGGAAATAAAAGATAGAGAAGAGGGAAAAGTATATGCGAAGAACGGCTTTTGTCAGTTTCAAATCACTTACCATTGTCTCGTTTAGGTGTCTCATAACAGCCTATTATATCGGTTCCGGAATGGTAATATCACAAACATTGCCGAAATTACAGATTCTTCTCCCTGCCTTTTGATGACCATCGGTACATGTAAACAAACGCATGTGAATAATTTTCATTGCTTTCATTACTTTTTATTTGCTGCATTGCTCAATTCGTTTTCTAATGAATTAGGCATATAATTTTTCATTGGAATTTCGTAAAAAAGCGTCTCGCTCTGGTTCTACAAACAAAAACAGGAATTTTCTGTTTTCAACATAATTTTCGTTCTTTTTCTTCATGAATACTTTTGAAAGATGATGCTATTTCGAAATAATCATCACTGTTCATAAAAAAGAATAATTTATCAAAATTTGTTCGTATAGAAAAAAGGTCGATGAAGTTAAATCAAATAGTACAGATATACGAAAAAATTTTTGGGATACACTGTATTTTATTTCGTCATGAAATACGTCACGTTCTAAAAAATGATTGATCCAAACTTTTTGAAAGTACCAAGACTATTAACCGGCTCTCTGTGAAGAAAAATTAATCGGACGACTCGTTGTAATCATCAAGCAAATCTTTTTAAAAATAATCAAAAAAAAAGCACACACCCATTTTATTCAGCAGAAGTTCTTATCTATCCATTAAATTAGACAAAAAAGTCCAGATTTTATAAGAGAAAAATAAATCATATAATAATTGAATACATATAAGGTGCAATGTGGTCATATATAACATATTTATTAGTTCGTGATAATGTACTTGGAATATTTTTAATATTAATTTCATGGATATTTACATTTGGTTATTTACGATTATTTCCAAAATAGAGTTATATGGCACTTGTAGCTTCATTTACTCCAATACTTATTAATTTAGGTCGATTACCATTTGGTGATGCTGTACCAGCCGGAAATTATGCATTACTTAGAATTGAAGAAAAGCTTATTGGAATATTAATTGAAATTTTTTTAGCAATGGGAATATTTCCAGTATTTGCAATTGATTTATTAAAAGAAAATATTCAAAGTAAAAAAAACACAAAGTAATGTGTGGCCTAGAATAAATGAGATACTTAGTATTTTCGAAAGTAGAAGAGTTATTGTACTAGTATTGCGAACGTACATCATCAACAACTTTTTAAAGCACTTTTAATAGGTGTGATTGGTTAAATGATCTTCTCAGTATTTCATCAATATTTCTTTTGATTCTCGTAATTTCGGATCAGAGTTTCTCCAAGAAGATTCAGCGTTTGATCCTCTACAAACCTATTGACAGTTGAATATCATAGAGATAAAAGTAAGCAAAACAGTCATTGTCGTAATACTACGTATCAGCAGCATTAACAAGTTTCTGGCAGACGATGCTGTTGTTTTGGTTTTAGATGTTTCTATCTCGACCTACATAGAATTTTTGAACAAAGTGTACTGTCTATCTCATAGAGCGTCAAAAGCTCTATTTTATCAATATGGTCTATAACTTTCATGGCGAAACACTATTGCCTAAAAAAGGGTGTTTCTTGGTTAACTTGAGAAAAACAACGTTTCTTCACCGCTTATTTTATGTAGCAAGATTTTGTTATGGAAATTCCTCTGCAAGCCAATAAGATAGAGCTTTTGACGCTCTGCAAAACAGATAGTTCACTTTGACCAAACTTGTCTCCAGAGCTCGACAAGGAAGACATAAACGCAAGAGTGCTAGATTTTGTGCTAGAATGGTTTTGTAGAGAATTGAATGAAGAATCTTTTTACAAAAAAATCAGCTCTCTAGTATAAGAAATAAAAAAGTTATAGCAAAAATACTAAGTATCTCATTTATGCTAGGCCATCCGTTAAAATAATACAAAAATAAATTTGAAAAAAAATTTAGAAAGTCTTCAATCATATGCAGAAAGTGTTGATTCAATGCATTCTGTTTATGATGAATTATTTCATCATGAACATTTATAAAACGATATATCAATTTATTTTAAGAATAAAAATGAAATAAATTCATTTCTCGATAAACAACGTATTCATTTTCATCAATTAATATCGAATCAACGAGTATTTGTTTCTAACGCGTCAACTGAACCATCATTTTGGTGGTTTAAAAATGATTTTTCTTCAATAAGTTATAATTTAATTGTTCAACAACAAATTGATATATTTCGAATGTTACATAATATTGATACAGCTGTAAGCTTTTAATTAAATAAATAAAAAGAAAAAAGGGATTATTTTTTTGTTCTTTTGTTAAAGTTAATATGTTTAAGTGAATGTTCAACAACAGATGAAAAAGAATTAGAATTTATTAAAATTCAAGCAGCTAATCTTACAAATCTTCATAATCAATTATTTGATTTAAGTAAACAATTAAATAATTGTTTAAAAATTTGGTCAAACTATTTTAAACTGACACAAACACGTTGTTACCAATTAACACAAGATTTTATTCCACATCGTACAGAACTTATTCAAAGTGATTTATTAATACATGAACAATGTCTTAGTGATTTAAATAAAACAATATATCGACCTGAAAATGAATACCAACAAGGAATAAATCGTTTATTTGATCATTATTTTCAAAGATTAAATCAAGATGAACAAATTTTAACATGTGTTCTTTATGCACAAAATCAACAAGCAGATTTTATTCTTTTGGCTTGATTAGCGATGTATTATTCTATTAAACAATTAGCTAATACAGCATTAGCTTTAAATACAACAATTCATCAAGTTTTTGAACTTGAAACAACTGATTTATATCAATCTTTTTAATAAAGTTATAAATAATAATTCATATAAATAGATAATTATTTTGACAAATCATTTGTAGAGTAAAAATTAGTTCTATTTTAATAATATTCGCACTGTAAAATCATTAAATGACTACTGGTAACTTGTATTTAATAGGTTACAAAGCTACACCGATTCTGTAGACATATATCTGTACACAATCAAAGGACATCTCGACAATTGAAAAGGTTCTATTCACAGAACATGCATACATTAGGATAGTTGAACATTTGAAAGACTATTTCAATAATTAAATTGAATTTCAACTATTACCCATCTATTTTAGACTCATTTGAATACAAACGGTCAATGAAGAATTTCTCAAAAAGCTAGTCAATGGAATACTTAGAAGTATTCACTATTTTAAAGAAATATTTATCCTTTTTTCTTGTTTAATTTTCTATTATATAAAAATATATTTATTCACAGTGAAACGACTTATAAACAAGATTTTGGCTAAAATACAAGGTTCAGATTCAGTATAGCAAGTTGAAATCAACCGAACATCAGCGGCACATCGGCTAGTTAACATTATTAAAATATTTGATTGTCTCTTTTTTGAATAATTGATTTTATCAAGAACATGTCTTGTGGACCAGAAAACGGACGAGCCTCCGACAAAAGTCTTGACAAAAGAACAGCAGAGAATGGTTTTTGTGAAGCGAGAAATTGTTGTACCTGCTGGAAGTTGATGTTGTCGTCATCATCTTGACAATAATCATCTCACCTACGAAGCGCTTCAACAAATCAGACCCACTAAAGTTGATATCGCGTTACTAGATGCTAATGGTGTTGTTGAGTTGCTGACAGATTGTTGCGCGATCATTCAAAATGCCAAAACATTTGATTTTGCGGATCCAACGTCTTTGGATGAAGAATCGTATTACAATATGACCGGCCTGCGGAGAGGTACAAATCATTTGAAATATATTTCATGTACACTTTTGACTTAGATCAATTCAATAATCTGCTAAGCAATTTAACATCAATGCGCAATTCTCATGTTCGGTCGATTCGTGTTGCTCTGGCGGTTTTTCTATTCAAAATGTGACTGGGTATGAGGCAATATGGTTTCATCTTCGTTATGTCGCTTGAAAAGCAAGGGCGTAGTTTCAAGGATCGTTCACGAAACAGCAGAAGCATTGTTGACAGATTTTTTGCCTTACCATCTTGGCTTTCAATACATTGATAGGAAGACCGTTCTTCGAAATCATCAAACTTCTATCGCTTCCCAACTGATGGCTGATCGAGATGATCAAGTTATTGTGGTAATGAACGGTACGTATTTATTTGTACAAAAGTCGAGCAACAATCAATTTCAACGTCGATCGTTCAGCATGCATAAACATCGTAACCTGATAAAATCTATGATAACGACGGCTACTGTGAGTCTTTAGCTATTATTACTTACCATATATTGCATTTTCAGAAAACGGATTACTCAACTTCATCTTAAATACTGTATATTATGTTAAATAGAATGGTTATATCCTGAGTGTAGTAGATGCGTTTTTGGCCGATGGCAAAAATCATGATGCATCGATCGCCAAAAATATTTTCATGAAGAACGAACAAGATGTGCTCAATTGGCTGCGTGATGACAATGTTGTTATCGTTGATCGAGGTTTTAGAGATGCTGTTAACACAATAAAAAGGTTTGGTTTCAACGTGGAAATGCCTGATTTCCTTAAAGGAAAGAAACAACTATCCTGTAAAGAAGCTAATCGCTCTCGGTGTGTCACTAAAGTGAGATGGATTATAGAAAGTACCATGTTCATATATCAATTATTGTCGATCCTAATAACTCACTTGAATTTCATTATAATTAGTTAACGGAAAGATCAAGCACTGACGATATTTCGTTCAAACTATACGAAATTACAGTATTCCTTTCGTCGGTGGCTATTTAAACATCATCTGTGCACTTATCAAGACTCATACAAAAACCAGCATCACCTGTACAGAAAGCCAAAAACTGTGGGCAGCACGAATCCTAATGCTTCGTGATAAAGCAAATCAGTTACAAAAGCGTCTACAAGAGATCAATGAAAGTAACAACAGGCCACAATTGAAGAAGTACGATGCACAAATGGTCAATTTTCCAGCTCTGTCTGAAGAGGACATACAAAATATTTGTTTTGGTAGTTAGTGACTAGTAAATAACGATAAGATTTTGCAATGTTTTTTAATATTGGCAATTATCAAATGAAGGAAGCAAAAGGCTACATTGTCGAACATCTCAAGCCTTCCATATTGGATAATGATAAATATAAATTTACCGTCGAATTTTCTTTAAAATACAAAGATCTTGTTAGAGCTCGTTTTGCTTCCAGACACACAAATAGCAAAGAATATTTAGCCACAGTGCAGTTCGACGAAGAAGATGATGAAGAACCAATTTCCGGATGGTATTGTACTTGTTCAGCTGGCGCTCGAGTTATTGGCTGCTGTACTCACATAACAGCTCTCCTTTGGCATCTAGGTGTCTGTCGTGCTCAGGTCAATTCTCCTGATCATTCACTATCTGCTAACAATTATCTTTCCAGTCTTGAAGATTGCATTCAATATTCCGGTATTGACGAAAATGATGATGAAGACGTTGGTTCTGGTGAAAGTGACAGCGACGAAAACTAGTATACTTTAATTTCTTTCATATATTCCTTTTATTATACCCTTCTTTTCTTATTTTTCGAAAATATATTCATCATTCATAGTTCTAACCCTATATGTTTCGTCTAAAAGTATCATATAATACTTGAAAACTTCTTCACACCAACTACTTTGCATACGACATCCATCACATAACTGCGTTCTATTCAAGCAAAAGCGCTAAGTTCACCCAAACTTGAAACAACCGCCTATATCAGCGTGTAGAGCTTGAAAAGCTCTATCGAATGGCTATGAATAAACTTGGTCGTAAAGACATATATGCGAACATATATTGTACTTAGGGTATCAATACCATATTTTTTCATGATTTTAGGCCGTATGTCTAATAAAACTTTTTGGCCAATGGATTAAGAAATAACAAACTATACCAGCGTGTAGCCCGTGAAAAACTTTATCGAATGGCTAGGAAAGAACTTCGTCGTAAACACATTCGTATGTGGCATGACAAGCCTGCAAGTCCATGAACTGCCCGAAAATGTCCATAATGATACTATTTTTTAGAATAGTTATATCAGATAATGTCTATGTTATACATGATTTTTATATGAGTTGATGCAGAATTTTCCACTCTTTCAAATGAGCCTATTTAATGTTAGAGAATGACTAGTTTTGAGTAAGTAACTGTCAAAATACTGGGTAGAAAATAGGAGAAATAGGTAGCCTAGTAATCTGTATCGGAAATCATTAAATTCTTTCCAAAAATCGTTCAGCTTATCACCAAAAGATTCGCCATTAAATTCTGCGTCGAGTGATATGTTTGTTCCGAAAATCTAAGGATGGGCCGATTTCCGTTCTTATGCGCCTCCGTCCGTATTATAGACATCGCGACAGATGTACTTATTGTACACCTTGACTCGAACCAGAATGACAACAAGCAATAGTGATGCTCCATTCTATTGTGCAGTTTTTCTAGAGTACATAATCATAATGCATTAATTTTTAATAGTTTGTATTCTAAAGCAATGGTCCGTGGTCCGAGAGGAGTAGCAGCGATGAGTCATGTACACAACACACAGAACGTGATATTGAACAAGTGGAACAGCTATATGAGATGTGTGCACAGTCGGTGTTGAAATATTGGATGCATAGAAAACCACAACATACAAAAGATACAAATATTCCATATTTATCGCCCATTAATTTACTTGCAGTTACGCTGTGGTATTTGAAACATTACCAAACTGATAGCTGTATAGCAATAAAGCTAGATTTCATCAGACCCACGGTGAATTATTTTTTATCTTCGGTGATTGATATATTATGCAAGTCTGTATACTCGAAGCTGATTGTATTACCTGATGATATGAACGATGATACTACGGCACAAGGACAAGAAGAACATCACAAACTCATCTTTGATTCTACTTTTATTGCGATTCATCAATCCGAATATTCTGAAGAATGAAAAGCATATTATCATGATAAAAGTCCAACAAACTATGCATTCAAAGTACAAATCGCTTGCGATTTCAATGATCAAATAGTTCACGTATCGAGATGTTGTCAAGGCGGCGTACATGATTTAATTATTTTAAGAGAATCAGGATTATTCGAACATACCGACGAAAATGTACAAATCATTGTCGATAAAGGATATACAGGTAAACAATATGTTATCGCTCAAAGAAAAAAACCTCGTGGTCGTGAACTAACAACAGAAGACAAAACTTTCAATCGATCTATTTCTAGTTCAAGAGCAGCTATTGAAAACATCAATCAATGAATCAAAAACTATGCTATTTTAGGAACTATTTACAGAGGTCTTCATAATGATTTCGATAAGATAACTAAAATTGCATGTATTGTCGATGCATTGTGTAATCTTAAATTAAGTAAACGTCCTATTCATAGAAAATAAATTATGATCTATCTTTAGTAACTCTTAAACTCTTGTTTCTAACTGTCGTTCATTATTTCGATATCTTCTGGTCGGAGAGATACAGCGCGAATCACAATGAGTGAAGTTAATGAAAGTACGGCTTCACAATAGATTTTAAAAAGTCATCGGCTTTTCCATTTTCCAAGATTACAATCGAAAGTTTAGCAGCTTATTAGCTCTATCTCACTGTTATAACTGATAAAAAAAATCAAACGTTTTGGTCAATGAATAGAGACTATACAGTGAATAACAAACCGGGGTATCCGGCCAGACCGGGCAACCCCGTATATAATTTAGCAATGGAATATTTGGCGGTCGTCGACGAATAGTTAGCAACCAGCTACTTTGGAAAAACCAGAAGATATCAAAATACATTCAAGACGGCAGATAAATATGTTCAGGAAGTGGTTGAAACAACGCTTGAAGACAGTAATGATATATTGCTTGATGATTCAGATGGCTTAGACAGCGATGAAAATTCAAATGCATAAATGTTTTTCTCATATATTTCGCTTTTATTTTATTTTTAAATAATAGGGCGAATATAAAACGTCGTAAATCAGCCGTCATCGCCTAGATTCAAAAAAGTGTGACACCTTCAAATCAGTTTTTGGTTTTCTTATAGACTTATGTTTCTCAACGTGCTCTATCGATTGGTGAAAACCGCAGCTGTCTAGCTAACTGCATTCTTGAGTTATGCAAAAGAACAGTGGAGCACACTATACTTTGAGATGAACAGTAGTTACAAGATTTGAATAGTAACCCGTGTCTTTTGTTTTTCTTTCAACTTATTCCCTTTTCAGGAGCACAACCTATATTTTAATGCGTTTTGACGTCGTAAAAACGGATCATTTTGATGATGAAAAAGGATACTATTTTTTAATTGATGTAAGTTCACCGACCTGTATTGTCGTTCAACCCGCTTTTTCTCGAACAAAAGGCATGACTTTTAAAATCTCGCTTTTTAAATGCGTAGAACTATGTGTTCGGCCTCTTTGATCTGCTACACTTATCTCCTTCCCTTATAATTATCGCTCTTTTTCTTTTTTCTCTTCTCTTTTTCTATGAAAGCTAGCATTTTTTGGCCGCCTTTGAATACATTTAATTCATATTCTTTTTCAAGATACTCATTCTCCTTTATCCCCATTCACTATCCAAGTCATCTTTTCTTTTAACATCTATTCTTATCACGAAAACGATCGAAATCTTCATACTTTACATCTAAAGTAAGTGTAACTCTCTTGATCATTAAGGTGTTCTTCGAATATCCTCTTCTAAATAACAATATATAGCTAATAAAGATATAGTAATATGATATTAATTCATTCAAAGACAACGCGAACCATATTGTAAAATCATTTTAGAGAATTATATTTACACAATATCTTAATTTATCAATCACAAGAAATATTCCACTTTAGACTTAGTCGTTCGCTCAACATCAAGAGAACAGTTATTCAGAAACAGCAATATCTTCGATAAAAACAACATTCGTTTTTCCTCTAATAATGGAGGTGTGTGTACTATTCGTGAGAAAATATGGATGTATTAGGGTCAAATTAAAACTCTCATTGCCAAACTAACATGGTTAAAATATAGGCTGCCCTTGTACTGTCTAGAAGAAGATATCCAGTTTTTACGGTAGTTATTGAGTATATGTAATATTTAGGATAATTTATATTAATTTGTTATATAATCAACTCACGAAGGAACATTTCCAGGTGTCGGGGCGCTTTCGAGTCACGAGTTAACACATCTTGTAGACCTCGGTGAGTTATGTTTACCATAAACAGAGCTCGGGTCCATGACTTGTTCCTGGCGAGTAGAGTTTTCTGAACCTGCACCCGACCCGATCTGACATATTCTTATAATTTATTTCTTTTCAATATATCAATCACTTTATTATAGTATTTAGTATACAACAATAGATTAACAAAGCCTAATTTTATAGTTAATATCAGAAGAAACACACAAGAAAAATAATAACAACTAAATTTAGAGGTTAGCAGCAGATGTTACAGAGGTGGGATCGGTTCGGTTTAAAAGTTTTAAGAAATCAGATCGGTTCCGTTCGATTCGGTTCGAAAATTTTTCAGTTCGACTCGGTTCGGTTGAAAGTTTTTCAAAAACTAGATCGGTTCGATTCGGTTCGGTTTGGAAGTGTTTCGGTTTATTTCGCTTCGGTTATAAAAATATACGAACCGATCCCACCTCTAAGATGTTACGATCTAATGCTACTCGAGAAAACCCGATATATTTTGAAACTGAAACCGTGCCCGATCCAATCCGTAATTGTTCAACCCGACTATTTAACTCGCACCCGTCCTCTGGTCGGTTCGGGTACTGTTGCAGGGCTCTACTGGCGAGGTATTGAGGTTTTAATTCATTTTTCCTATGGAACGCTACTTTTTCGATTGAATCTTACTTTCGAGTTTTTGGCCCGAAACTTTGCCCACATAAAGCTCTCTGCTAGACTACCTTCCAAAAAAAACTTCAGAATTTTTTGACGACGTGTCTTCAAAATATGACGACTACGAAAAATTCATGCTGTATATATCATCGCCGGAACAAAATCTATGTGTATCATATTTCGAAGAGGCTTAGTCAAAGCATTCTGAATCTTTTTAGAAGCTGGTCTAGTTGAGGTCTTTATGTGGACAAAGTTTCGAGTCAAACATTCGAAAATAAGATTATGCCGAAAAAGTAGCGTCCCATAGGCAAAATGCATTAAAAGTTCAATACCTCGTCAGGAACAAGTCATGGACCCGAGCTCTGTTTATGGTAAACATAACTCACCGAGGTCTACAAGATGTGTTAACTCGTGACTCGAAAGCGCCCCGACACCTGGAAATGTTCCTTCGTGAGTTGATTATATAACAAATTAATATAAATTATCCTAAATATTACATATACTCAATAACTACCGTAAAAACTGGATATCTTCTTCTAGACAGTACAAGGGCAGCCTATATTTTAACCATGTTAGTTTGGCAATGAGAGTTTTAATTTGACCCTAATACATCCATATTTTCTCACGAATAGTACACACACCTCCATTGTAAGTACCATCGCTTGAATAACCACA